CAAAGCGGGAAATCCAACCTGACAACACAAGCGGAGGCGCAGGAGACTCGGCAGTAGCATCAGTCATTGGAATCGCTTTCGGGCCACGAGTGTACCGATCAATGCATGTGAACAGGTAAGTGTAGCCCTTTGAAGGCGGCAAAGGACCAACGATTATCAACATGAATACTGTCAAAGCGAGAATCAGGTGTGGGAAAGTCCTGGATCGGGGCCTTGACATGTCGCTGAATCTTGGATTGTGACAGTGTGAAAGTCCGGGTCCAGTTGGCTATGTCTCGTTTCATATTGGGCCAGACATATCGTTCTGCTACAGGTGACGTGAAGCTTTGATGCCAGGGTGAGACAATGAATGTAGGTTGTTGAAAATGTCACGGCGCATCGTGGAGGGAACCAGAGGTCGGGGATGGCCTGGGAAACATCACAAAGAAGGGAATGGTTCGAGTTTCAGGATGGGGACATGGTCCCAGATGTAATGAAGTGGTGGAGGTAGATAGCTGTTGAAGCTCCTCATCGTGGCTTTGAGCTGCAGCCATAGCTTCCAAGGTCGAGCAATGATTGCTCTTCGAGGACGTAAAACATTGAGGGAGAGTGCGTCCGCAGCACGGTTAGCTCGTCCTTCGATTGACGGATGTGCATTCGTGAACACCGTAAATAAATGCCTAGGTGTGGAGCCTGTCGTGGGGAAACGCCGCTCAGCGCTGGATTTGGAGTGCGAAGGTATAGAGGCTTGTGGTCAGTGTTGATGTGGAAAATTCGACCCTCAACAAAGTATTGAAAATGTCGGACAGAGAGGTAAATAGCCAACAACTCACGATCAAAGCGCTGTAATTGAGTTCTGCATGAGTCATTTTCTTTGAAAAGAAGGAGATGGGTTTCCATTGTCTATTTATGAACTATTCAAGTACAGCCCCGACTGCAAGGTTTGACGCGTCAGTCGTGATGCATGTAGGTGCGTTGGGTTGAGGATGAACTAACATTACAGCCTCTGACAAGGTCTGTTTGGCTTTCTTCAAATGCTGTCTGGCAAGAAGCGGTCCATGTGAAACACTCTGCTGCTAAGGCCTGATGCAGCGGCTGCAAGATCTCCGCGCACCTGGGTACGAAGCGATGGTAGTAATTGATGAAGGCCAACAAACTGTGCAAGGACTTCTTGTCATGAGGAACGGGAAAGGTGCTAACTGCATCGACGTGTTCGAGGTGAGGACGGATACCTGCTGCACTAATGGTATGGCTCAGGAAGTTCACTTCAGTCTTGCCAATCAAGCATTTCGCCGGATTAATTACAAGTCCACGGTCTGATAAGCGTTTGGAAGAGTGCTCTAAGGTGATGAAGGTGTTCCTCCGGAGATCGACTGGCCACCAAGATTTCGTCCAAGATAGACAAAGACGAAGTCTAGGCCACGGCAAACATCATCGATGAAACGCTGGAAGGTCTGGGCGGCGTTTCGCAAGCCAAACGGCATACGCAGAACTCGTAGAGGCCAAAAGGCGTAATTATGGCAGTTTCCGCGATGTCATCCTCATGCATGGGAATTTGGTGGTAGGCGCGCTTGAGAATATGGTTGAACCTGCGCAAGTGGATGCGAAGTCTTGAATATGCGGGATGGGGTAACGGTTCAGCGGTCGTGATGTCGTTGAGCTCCTGTAGTCCCCACACGGGCGCCATTCGTCAGCCATTCCCTTTAGGTACCATATGGAGTGGTGAAGCCCATGTGCTCGCGGATGGCCGTATGATTCCCATGTTCAGGAGCTTATTGAACTCTGTTTTCGCAACGGTTAGCTTTTCAGGTGACAGGCGGCGCGGTCGTGCAAAGACAGGACGACCTTCTGTGACAATATGATGAGAAACACCATGCTTTACAGGTGGTGTCGCTTGTGCATGGTGTTGTCAGAGACGGAAATTCCTCCAGAAGGTGTGTGAACGGGTCTGCATACTTTGAAGGTAGGGTGTAGATGTTGTTAAGAACATGGGGATGGGTCTGTTGAAGGTTCAGCTATAATTCGTGTCCCATTCATAGTGTCGATTAGACGTTTCTGGTCCAGGTCTACTAACAGTTTGTGTTGGTAGAAGGAAATCCGCTCCGATGATTGGTTGAATCACATCAGCTACTAGGAATCGCCAGGCGAGAGGGCGTGGGAGCCCAAGGTCGGAAGTAAATTGTTTAAAGCCGTAAGTGTTTATGAAGGAATTATTCGCAGCTCGTAATGTGACTGTCACCTTTGATCCATCGGTCTGATCTTCCGGCTGGAAAAACACTAACTTCAGCTCCGGTATCAATAAGAAATTGTTGCTTAGAGTTTTTATCAAAAAGTCGGAGGAGACGAGAAGTGCCAGTCGAGTGGCTGCGTTCATCGACTGGCCTTGGAGTTTCCCGACTGCTGTAGAAACTTGCAAGGTTCGCGGCATTTTGTAGCTTTCGAGCCAAATCGCTCGTGGTACCAACAAACTTCAGGCGTCGAGCCACGTTGCTGTTCGTCACGTTTTGTTTTTTGCTGAGACTGTAGTACCCGCCAGATTTTCTGTAGCTCTGTGTGAACCGCTGCAATTTCTGGATTTCCCCGTTGCTGGATCTCGCTAATCTGCCCTTGTGGACCTTGGACTTCGACCATGTTGTCGGCGATTTCGGCTATATCACTGAGGCTGGTATCTTTGTGTATCGCCAGAGCTGTGCGAACGGTGAGGGGAGGCTTCTGCAGGAAAAGCTCGCGGAAAATCTCATCTTTGTCAGAGTTCGCTGCAGTACCACCTCGGAGTGTCAACAGGTGCCGTAGCAGCTGCGAGGCTTTTCTGTCGCCGAGGTCTTCAACATGCAGTAAGGATAACGCAGGATAACGTCACGCACTTTGGAAGCGTATTGTGCTGGAAGAAACGCGAACGACATGGCCTAAATTTCGTCTTTTCCTGTGTGATGTTTTGTGTGCTGCGAACAAAGCTTCGGCTTGAGCGAACCAAAGCTCTGGGTCGGGACGGCCAGAAGTCCGGTAATTTCAGAGAAACTGCATTTGTGGCTATCACTTCGTCGGGCATTTTTCCGTCACTCGTCGGGGTCACCAATTTAGTGCCAAGAAGATGGACACCAATAAACACAACAATATCTTTTACTCAGAACTCACAATGCTCTGCTCGAGCCATTACACGTGGTGTTTCTTGGTTATCAAATACAGCAATACAGGTTATTTAGCAACCCCCCTCTTAGGGTTTCTAGAACATACAGTAATGTCACACAACAGTCACGCATAGCAAAGTCTTGGGACGCCACACTGGAACCCAGCGGTTTCCCGCTGGGTTCAGACCCTATATAGGGCGGGGTAAAGAGAGAGTTTAGGGACTGGACTTACTAATAGGAATGGTGTAGGATTCGTGTCATGGATCACTCGATCATCGATTACATCGTCTAAACTTTTCTAAGCTGCATGAGCCGCCAGGCCGTTGTAATGCAGTAGAATATGCTAATTCGTGTATTTTCATTTTTAGTTCATATAAACTAGACACAAACGACGCTAGAATTTTAGCCGAATAAATTTTGCTGAATTAAAACATACAGCGGACTACCTAAAAATTTATTTAAAAAAATGACCTTTACAATAAAGGTCTGTAGTCCAGTACGTCAGCTTGTTGTTATTCCTGTGCACATCATTAAACAATTGCAAAACAGCGAAAATATAAGGGTTGTATAGGAATCCAACGAATAAATTCTAAGACCTAGAAAAATAAAATACAGAGATAAGGATTCTGTTATACGTGACAGCTCTAACGGGGTCGTTTATTTTTTATTGGTTGATCTGATTTTGCAGAAAGAAAATGCAAAACCCGTTTCACGACATAACCCAAAAGACCTTTAGATTAATCTAGACGAAAATCATTTATAAAAGAATTAGTCTTTTGAAATTAAGATGGCACTGCACTGATAGAGAAAGTAGTTTTACAAAATCAGTCCAGATACATTGGCCATGTAGAAATGTAGAATCTCACAAAAATATGATGGGATTGAAGTCTTCTGGGGTTGTAAATGTTGTACTTCAACGTGGATTCGCTTCACACCAGGAATTGCACATACTTTTGAAGGTGATACTTGATTTTCGTTGTTTTGAGAAGAACTTGACAAACGTAATTGTAGCATCTTTTAAAAGCGCCCCACAGGTCTTCGCACACTTTTTATATCACAATTAAGTGGATTTGATCTTAGTTTACAATCAACAATGTATATTACTCATGATACTTTTTAGGACAAATGTGTTCTTCTTGTCGGATAACATTTTCAATTCCACGAACATTTATGTAGTTGGAGCAGCAAAATTCTATCAATTAGCTATGACAAAAAAATGCATGGTGTTTAGTAGTGTTTGACCATTACGCATCCATGCAACAGGCATTTTTGTGACTGTATACGGTGACAATAGGTAAATTATTTTGACAAATCCACGAGTCAGCCCTAATCTATGGACCCTTTGACTCCTATTAGGCCCTAAAGCAATAGAGCACGTGGACGAAAGGCCCTGATGGTCTACGAAAAGGCTCTCAGGGATGGATCTGTGAACGTTTACCGTGGTCGAATATTGCTAATTGGCCAGGATCGTGCTGGTAAAACAAGTTTAAAGAAGTCTCTCTTAGGTCTGCCGTTTGACCCTAAAGAACAGAGCACTGAGGGAATTGAAGTGGATCCTTCAAAGTTTGAAATTGAAGTTGACCAAATCAAGAACTGGCGTTCCACCAATGAGAAACCAGGATCGTTTGAATTTTCTCAACATATTGTGAGATTGGTAGCTGAAAATCTGGTTGAATCGGAACGTCGTGAGGAACTATTTAATATACGGTCACCTCGATCTTTCAAGGGTGATTTTGATAGAAAGATAGAGACGAAGTTGGTTTGGATGTAAAAGACGAGAATGGTCCCCACACCAGTCAGGTTTGTCAGTAGTTAAACCATTGGTGTCAATGCTTACTGGCTGTTTAATGTTTGACATATTAAACCTAGTTATATGGCCTAACCTCCCACGAGTCTCCTGTAGCTCAGTGGTAAAGCATCCGACCGGTGTGCGGAAAGTCATAGGTTTGACCCCTGTTAAAAGAATCGGTCGGAAAAACCCTTTTCCGCGTAACTTTAAATACGTCACTGACTGATTCAGTAATGTCTTTTTCAAAGTTCTACCAAACTTACCGTAACATACCTCTTCGTCATTGAAACATAACATAACAGGTCGACCAACATCAAATTCTCTCGAAATCGGCCAAACTATAACCGTGAATGTACTTACGTTAAGCGTTAGCCTGCAAACAAGTTATCTTGGGGAAAGAGAAGGGAAAGAGGATTTGAGGGGCGGCATTCAAAATTTTGAGACATCAGTGCAAGCTCTCTTTCCCCTTCTCTTTCTCCTACTCTCCCAAAACCCCAAGAGGGCCTGCTCGCAGTCTTGTTAAGCGTTTTTCCTGTGAACACAGGAGAATTGCCATTCCATGAGGGAATTTTTTTTCAAAATCTTATCTTCTAGAACAAGAACAAATAGTTTAATTTGCATGACCTTAAATTCATACAGTATTGCAAAGCATACAACTTTAACAAAAATACATAAAGATGAGGGGAAACTAAGTTACATCAGTCTGAACTACAGTGTTACTACTATTACGGGGGTCGCTCAAACAAAATTGACCAATCAGATTACAGGACGCGAACAATGAATTGCAGCTAAAAGTCAATCTCGAATGGACGGAAAACTGATTGGTTCAAATGACTTTTAAAAGTTGGAATTCATTGTTCGTGCCATGTAATCTGATTTGTCAATTTTATTTGAGTGACCACTGTAATAGTATTCGCACTGTAATAATAATTTTTCACGTAGACAGAGCTTTGGATGCGTGGAGATTGGCTTGAAATTCCCAGATCAGATCTTACACTTCAAGAGAAGTTAGGGGAAGGTGCGTTTGGCGAAGTTTATAAAGGCTCGGTGCGGATTGATGGACAATTGAGGCAGTGCGCAGTGAAAAAGCTCAAAGGTAAAGAATGGACTGCCAAGTTTACGCGATAGTTGACGATACTGTAAATGCATTCCGTTCAATTTGTTGGAAACATTTTAACACTAACGTCGTTTTTCAATTGCAGAGAATGCAACAGAGATAGATAGCGGAACTTGATAAACGAACTCCAAATCATGGCCACAGTTGGTGAACATCCTAACGTCATCAGTCTTATTGGAGTTTGTACAAGAAGCGGTAAGCATACACAATAAGTAATTTCAGTGTTCTACAGAGTCTACTGTTCATTGCTCGTCATAGCGGCGGTTGCTATACTCCCCCTGAATGAGATGCTACGCAGGTTACCCCACAAAATTGGTTGCCCCAACAATTCGCCGGCACCCATTTAAACACCTGGGTGGAGAGAATCACTGCGAGAGTAAGGGCCTCGTCCAAGCCGGCCACAGCACGATGGACAAGGCTTGAAATCCGGAATTGTAGTTCTGGGACATTGTAGGTATTATTCCAGTGGTTCCATAAACTTATCACACAATTTCGGTCCATTTCCCAACACTCCCCTTAATAGATCCATAACTGGCCCAAATCCTACTGAATACGCGAATGATTTCAAACATCTTTAAATTAGCATTATAGTATACACACTGAGGGTAACACAATTAGGGACCTTAAGCAACCACGACGGCGACGGCAACGAGAACGTCAAAAACATAGGTTTAATTAGTAGTACAATAGCTCTGCACGTGCGTTTTAAAACTTTGTACATTTCCTAAGCCGTCCTCTGCAAAACAAAAACGTCAAAGACCAAATTCACGGTATTATAGCGGAGAACGTGAACACAAGACGGTGAATTTTCCTTTCTCTGTCTGGACTTGAATCCGTCCCTACGAATTCATCTCCTGGACAGTTCGGCCACATTGGATAATTTAACGTGTTGGAATAATCGCGAAATAGTTTATAGGAACGTGAATTTGCTTTTTAAGTGACGTTTTCCATGGCATCGCCTTCGTGGTTGCTTAAGGTCCTAACAGCCCGACGACTGACAAACCTGTGTCCCTCGGACTCCAGATCGAATTTGAATTGAGAAATGTTCAGTATAGGTTTTTGTGGAGGGAAGAACCCGACGAAAACTCCCAAAATGCTACTAGACGACGCAGGAAAATAATAAATCTCCCATACGATGGTTTATTATACTAACACGTTATATGTAGTTTAACTATGTGATCTTAGCTAGGGACAATAAGATACAAGTTTATTGTGTAATACACTTAGCTATGAAGGTGTGACATGATCACATAAAAAATAAAATGACACACCAGCTAATTTACAGGTATTCCACATAAATTTAAATTTAAAAAATTAATAATATAATATATGAGTAAAAATACAAGTCATGAAATACAATCTAAAGTCATTATACGTTATGCTAAATTCCAATATTAGTTGTCGTACGACTGGCTGTAAATGGTTGCTTGCTACAATACTTGAAGGAAACCAGAGAAAATCCTTACCTCAACGTTGCGCAAAAACAAGTACATTTTACACACATGGACAAAGCAAGGATTGGAAGAGATATTGCTAATGGAATGTTGCACTTAGCCAGCAAAAAGGTAATATTATAAAAGTAAATAAAAATGTAAACGAATGGATTGCAGTCAGTTGTAGAAGAAATAACCTTTCTAAGTTTACAGTCAACTCTTGCGGACACCCCGTTATTACGGACACCCGCTATTACAGACACCCGCTATTACGGACAAAATCCAGTCCTCCATCCGGCTAGAGTTTATAGAGATTTGACTGAAAATGACTCCCGCTATTGCGGACTCTCGCTATTACGGACTCTCGCTATTACGGACTCTCGCTATTACGGACTCCAAACTACGTACCGAGGGTGTCCGCTATAACGAAAGTTGACTGTACATCAGAAACACAAAGTAAAGTGTTTAAGATTATTCGTACAAATTAACCTTCAATAATCATATCTGAGCGCTCTGTTGTCTACCAAACATAACATGGAACGATATTGTAGACTATGGCTTTGTTTTGATACTTTGTTAACCTCTTTAGTACGTTTTGACCCACAGCAGATATTTCTTGCCAAATCACTGAACCTAAGCTAATGACAAATTTACCAACTCAAAGAGTAATTTTTTAGATTTCAGCTGTTCTCATGCGTGCATATCTCTGTCAACTACAAGACAGTCACAGCTAAGATGAAAACACTAAGAGCTTTTGAGATGTCTGTAGAAGGAAAAAAAATGGTCCTTTTAAATACCACGTGTGCCCCACTTCTAATAACGAAAGTGTGGCCGGATTCAATCTGAATAGCTTTACGTGATAACTTTCGTGAGACTAGGTTTACCTTTTGAGAGTATCATTTAAATCTAAGGAAGGCTTATTGTTTTCTCTGATTTGTTGTAGTGTGCTCATCGTGACCTTGCAGCACGGAACGTGCTTCTTGGTGAGGACAATGTTGCCATGGTTTCTGACTTCGGCTTGTCTCGTGATGTGTACGAAAGTGGAGAATACGAAAGTACAAGCGGGGTATGAAAAGAACAGTTTAATTGCAATTAGTTATAATTATTGTTTTGATTCTGTGGGTGGCGAGATTGCCTAATGGTTAGTGCGTTGGACTCCGTATCGAGTGGTCCGGGTTCGAGTGCTGGCCGAGGTCACTGTGTTGTGTTCTCTCCATCCAAGAGTAAATGGGGACCGGCGCATTGTCAGGGCAACCTGGCAAAAATGCTGGGGGCTACCTGCGATGGACTAGCATCCAATCTAGGTGAGTAGCGATACTCCCTGTCGCTTCATGCTACGGAAACTGGAGTTCAGCGCGGGCCTGATAAGCCACTAGGCTTGTAGTCAGACTTGTAGTCAGCTTTTTTAACCTATTGTTTTAATTACGTAGGATTCTATACCACTTTCACTATTAGTGATGCCTTTTGTATTTACGATATTCTGTCATTTTCTGATCTTTCGTCGTGTCTTCGTGTTAGGGTCTGTTACCAGTTCGTTGGATGGCGCTGGAGTCTTTGGAGGATTACACATACAATACTAAGACAGACGTGTAAGTTTACTTGTTGAAAAATAACCATAAATTGTATCGAGGAATTGTAACGTTCATGTCATTACTGGGCTAAATAGGGAGGGAAATAGAAAACCCTACCTTAATTTGATAAGTCTATTTTGGATTTATAGAAACGTGAATGGTAGACTGGACAAGATTCGTGTAATATATATAGATAGGCTTAGCCTAACAGCGGAGCTCCCTGAATTATCATATTCAAGATGGGCCAATTCAATATAAATATGATCAACTTATGAGATCTCAAATCTTTTATAGTGGCATATGGTGCAAAAGAAAATGTGTGCGCTTTTCCTGTTATGTCAATAACTAAAAAGGTTGTAAAAAAAACTTTTTCATCTTATCACCATAGTGAACAAAAAGCATGGGTGGTGTAATTCAACCATTTTTACACAAGGGTAGCTCAACAGTACACCAACAAATTATGTTCACTACTTTCCGAAGGAAGGAAATGAGTGTTACAACAACACATGCTAGGACTAAAATAGAAACAAATATAGGTTTGACAGGTTGATGTTTTGAAAAAGCCTTTCTTTGAACTGTATTAAAGAAAGGACAATAAAAAAGAGTCAAACAATGCAAAATCTGGATCATGGGCTGAAAGAGTTAGACTGTGGAGCTAATGTTCCAGTGGAATGAGTTATACTTCAGTATTTGCTTCTCAAAAGTCTGAGATCTAGAAGGGATATGAAGTGAACAAGGGAGTTTTAAAAGTTATTGACTGCCATTACAACATGGGTGCGCTGGACAGCCATCGTAAGATGGACAATATAATGACAGTATGGGCTAAACCAGGGGGTACTCGACAGACGTTCAGGTAGGGAGGTGCGGCCGGGCCACTCCACTTAAACCCTGAGCCTGTTCAATACACAAATCTCTGATTTTCCTACCCTGTATTAAGTTATAATTGTGTGGTTCCAGAAAATATCCATACCCCCCCCCCCCCAGACGGAAGACATTTTGGTTTTCACCCCCCCACCCCTCAGGAATTTCCGTTCCAAGGGGGTCTTTGATGACCC